GAGGGCAGTACAGGTTACCTTCTCATTTTTTTGGGACAAAAGTTCCAATCAAACCTCCAACACCCCCTTCCCAACCATGCACCATATTATATATATATATATATATATATATATATATATATATACACACATATATATATATATATATATATATATATATATATATAACCATAGACACGTTCTTAATGAACTACTGACATATTAGCACTCACAGACAGACTCAAGATTTAATCAACATCCATGTTCTCCTCTTTTTTAAAATTTTTGACTAGCAACACTTGTTTTCACCTGCACTAACACATAAATATCTTGGAAATATCTAATCGATCACTGATTTGCACATGAAACGTTTTCTTCCAGTGCAGGCCAAGCATATTTATGAAAATTTTGCGCAATTTTATAGAATTGAATGTGAAACTACTTAATATTGTTTTACTTATGAAATTATTAGCATGCTATAATATGAAGTGCATCTAATGCCATAGTTAACTTAATAGGAAGGATACAATATCAATTTTGTTTCAACCTGGATTTTTATTAAATTAGACTGGATCTGATTTTTTTTTCAGTGATTCATAATTTGGGATTTGTAATTTAAGATGACTGATATAGTTAAATGAATTATCCAATAACTCACAGTTCTATAATGAACTAGAACCTTTTAACTTGTTTTATTAGCTACTTGTAGTATTAAGGTAAAATAAAATGCCCCATGAAAGACAAAAACTAATAAATTTAACCAACCCTTGTTTCTTGCACAAACCAATCCATGGAAAATACATTAAAGAGGTGAAATTAATTAAATTTGCAATATTAAGTTTTCTGTACATTAAGACTAATGACCTTGTCCCTTCAGTAAAGCTGAAATGTTACCATTTGGTTAACTCACCAACAGAGATTTAATGTCAAGGCGTACAGAAAAACTAGTTACTGAAGAGAAAGCATCAGTGTGGAGTGTGGAGAAAGCAATTTACTTGCTATTTTTGTCTTCAAAGTGAGATTGTAGTGTCAGAGACAATCACAGAGTGTGGATAATGAGAATACACTGCACAAGCCCTGGAGTGTTTTAACTTGAATAGGGATACTCATACAAATGATAAAATGATACTGATGATCACTCTCACACTCGCAATAACAGAGACTTCACTGGTACCAAGATGCATTTATCTTCAACTACTAAAACTGTCAACTATTAGCTACTCTGTGAACACATTCATAATCACCAACAATAAAGCCTATAAACCTACATAAAAGTTATTATTAAAATAAACCCTCTAGCCATGTGGCATGAAAGCTCTAGAAAAGAGAATCCCCGCTGTGATTTTCTTCTAAATGAGGTTTAATCATATTAGTTTATCCCGTTCTCTGCTGCCCAATAGATTAATCTGCCCTTATGATAATACACAAAACGGCTTATTCTGAGCATATCTGCCTAATTATTCCGAGATGCGCGCTGAAAATGGCGTTTATAAACCTACTTGGGTGAGTTCAGTGCCCATCAGTACAAGGAGGGTGAGACTCAGGAGCTTGCTTGCAGGCTGCATCTTCTGCCGCCGATGCCAGCTGATCCGAAGATATCACATGCAGAGCTGTTTTCTGTGCAGCTGTCCGGCTCTAGTAGATGCTCCTCTTGAACGTACGTATATGTTTTAATTCAGCGCCAAGATAACGGACAAATGAGATTGGAATGGTTTGCAGAGCCGCCTCTTTGCATATTTATCTAATCTCAGCTTCTCGACGCCTCCTCGTCCTCTTTCTTGGTGGACCGGCGATCCGATCGCGAATGAAGGGATGAGCACGAAAGCGGCGAAATTATTACTTCATCACTAGACAAACTTGGCTGGTTAATACGAGAGAGTAGGTGTGGGCAGAAAATTTGAGAAGCGGGGCCAAGCAGTGGTGCTGAACCGGATGTGACACGAACTGGCGTGGGAAATTCAAAAACCAGAGGCACCTGAGCGGCGCGAGCAGCGTGAGCAGCTGAGAGGAGAGCGCGCTCATAATCTGCGATCACTGCACGAGCTCTCAGCGTGCGCGTGAAACAGCAGAGTTCACAGCACAAGTGCCAGGACTTTGAACTATAAGGATAATAAAAGGAGTGGCGAGGTTGCCATGGAGACCGCGTCCTCCTTGGGTACCACCACTAATAATAATATTAATTAATTAATTAAATAAAAAAAATGGTCATTTAGAACTATTAGAACTTAAGTAATTGAGTTAATTATATAATAATAATAATATCTATGACATAATTCACAAATATTCATATAAGAGACATCCCACCAACCTAATAATAAAAAAATACAATTCATTAGGCATTTTTATATATATTTTATGACTATATATTTTTCAAATTATGTCAAATTATGTCTTTAATCACTGGGCAATTGAATATTGTTGTGGCCTTGGAGTCAAAAAGATTGAGAACCACTGGACTAGACAGATGGATAGATGTGTGAATCCAGGATTATATAGTATTGATGTTAGCCGTCTAGTGTACCACAGCGCAGAAATAAACACTCCAGCCTGGAGATTTATTTTATCATGCTACACATGTTGAAAGACCTGAACAGCTTCAGAAAATACTGCATAGCTTGACTTGAACATCATGGCTGTTTTGTCTGTGTGGAATCTCGGGTCCATGAATCCATAGTTTGTCTCCATTTGTTATGCAGTCGGCAGTGGATGGATTGTTGCAAAACTTCAGCAGGTAGTGTGAACTAGTGATATATAGGACATGTGTTGTGTGAAGGGTTAGCCTGAGGTGCTCCAAGGCTGCTCACTACCATTTCTGACACAAACTCTGACATGCAGCTTCACAAACCATTGCCTGTCAGTGTAAGACAGTCCATGATGCAGGAGACCCTAGGGGAGCCCACCTGCATCAAATTGTGCTTGTTAGCATAGGGATAAGAACACAACTCTATTTGTGGATATATATATACTGTATATATTGTTTTTTATCCAATATTATAGTAGATACCAAATTTATCCAATAAGATAAATGTGCTTTCGCAACAGGGACTTATATCAGTGTCTCTAGCAAACAGTTTGTTTTCCACTGCAAATTCTTGAAGCAGGCTTATAAATGAATGCATAAATAGACTTCCTGCTTAGGCAAAACGAAGCCCTTGAGAGGTTTTGAGACAAGCTTGGGGAGATGTCCCACTTTTCAGTCTCTTTCTCTTTTTGATTTTGAGATCAGTGAAAATAAACAAAGTGCTTTTGTTTCTTTTCGATACCTTTGCATCTGCTGCCATAATCTGTCTTTTCTTTTCAAAGAGATTTTTATAAAATCATATGTTAACACACAAAAGTCTTCAAACGTGTTTGTGTAAAAGGAAAAGTAGAATTGAATGTTTGGAGTTATATAATGTTGGACTTGTAGATTAATCATAGCTCAGTGGAACACAGAGGAACATTCATTATTTTTCAGATTGGACATTGATTGATGCCTTTTAGAAATTACCATTATAACTAGCTATCTCACAATGTTTACATATGAATAAAAACCTACATTTTTTAATGTATTTTTAATGTCATATAAATTGGTCTCTTCTTTAGAAATTAGCCTACTGATTGCCACCATTGATGGACACATTTTTTTTATAATATTAAAAATATCTGTATGACAGTGTATTCTGCAGTTCTTCCCTGTTGTACTGAATATCTGTACTTTTCGAATTGTCATATTGAAGTTAGAAATTCAAATATTGTGACAAAATTAATTTTGTAGGGTGCCACAAATTTGTTAAAATTTCCAAAGGGTGCCGCGACTAAAGAAAGGTTGGGAAACACTGATTTAGAAGACGAAAACCAAACAAAATTAAGTCTCACACAAAGACTAGACTAAAACTAAAATTAAAACAGGCCACCAAAAACAACACTAGACCAGACACAGGGTTGATACAACAACAAATTCACACAAGACTGCAAACACAAGGGGAATAAATAGGGAGCAAATGAGGAGGGTAACGAGGGTAGACAGGTGGGGCAAATAAACCAATAATCAGGTAACAAGATGGGTGGGGTCAAGACAATTGGCATGAGAGCACATGGCACACAGAAAACAAAGACAAAAGCCATGTGCTCACACAAAACAAACAGAAGCAAAACAAGACACGAACACGCAGCTATTGAGAATACTCATAAGCCGCATGTTCACACAAGACATGACAACATGAAAGCACGCAGCCAATGAAAAACACAAGCTGCGTGCTACACAGCACAAGACATAACATGAAATTACGCAGCTGAAAACACGAGCTGCGTGCAACACCACAAGACAACGAGAGCACGCGGCCGAACACGAACCGCGTGCTACACAAGACACAACACACGCAGACAGAAGAGCACATGGCCCGAGCGAACTTGCACTTCACATTCGAAGCACACTCGAAGTCGCACGCTCACATAAAAACACGACAAGATGGGAGAGTCAGGGCTCTGTCACAAAACCATGAATAAACTAGATTGAAGTGACAGAACCCTGATAGGAGTGACATGAGGGTGAGTAAATGATGACAGAATTTTCATTTTGGTGTGAACTATCCCTTTAATCAAAATCAGAGTCTGCTACTTTTGATCCCTCTTATAAGTTCTTATTGAGCTTATTTCCTGTTCCTGTAGTAAATAGGCTCCATAATAATACTATAACAATATTTTAAAAAGAACTTTGCCTTCATTACGCTGTTCTTCAGGGAAACAGATAGCACCTCCATATGTTCAGACTTTTGCTTGCTGGAAATAACAAGAAGTGAACTTGTTATATTTAAGAATGACTAACTGGCCTCTTTAATATTTATAAGGTCTTTCTACACTGACTGCTCATTCACAGTATCTCCAATTTTAATTGCAAATCTAAATTAGTCATCGAAACCTTTCCGTTAACTCAACACGTACACGCGGTTCCAAATGCGCCATGACTTATATGGAATCGTAGGCTGTCATGTTTGCTGCCAAGACGAGGAGGATGGCAGTCCAGATCTGACTGTGGGGGCCATCTGCCTCACTCTAATCCAGTAACCAAACAAGAACCTCACTCTGGTTCCTTTCCTTACCCACAGTGCACTGCTGCTGAGAACATGAAGGCACTGGCAATTTACTAAAGAGCAGATTAATGCAACTTCTCCCAGATGATGAGGTGCTGGTTAGGTTGAGAGCTTGACTTTTTGAATTAGCCTCATAGCATTGGTTGGCTTTTTAACATTGTACTATTGTGTTAAGGTGGAAATGAATGAGTTTGACATTCAGGGTATATACAGGAATCATGGAGTTAAATTTAATACCTTTTAAGACCTTTTTTAAGACTCTTTCCATACATTTTAAGACCTCATCGCCACTCCAAGTTTTAACCGGTTACATCGGCGACACTTTAACTTACATTTACTATATATTGATTGTAAGACTTACTTTGTGATAACTCCTTATCAATACAACATAATTCAGAAGTGGCGAACGAAGCACAAGATGATTAATTGAGTGACTAACCAATGCAACCCAAGAAACACGTAATGGTCAGAAGTTCAGCGAGAGTGGGATCAACAAGTCCCGCACTATCATGAAGCGGCGCAGTCAGTCAGTGAGCGCCGTAACAGATGAAGTAAAATCTTGCGGGATTCCATAAATAAAATACACAGAACCCCACTATTCGACAAATATACATAAAGAAAAGATGATACAAAATGTAATACCTTGGAAAATGGCATTTAAGACTTTTTAATACTTTTTAAGGACCTTAATTTTCTCTAAATTGATTTATCAACTTTTAATACTTTTTAAGACCCCGCAGACACCCTGACATTGCTAAATGTAAAGAAGCAGAATAGCAAGTTTTAGGAGCACATCAAAGACATTCAGACAGGCATTTTTATGTGTATATAGTATTTTGAGGGGGAACTAGTGCCGGACCTGGCTAAATTGGTACCTTAAATGAGATAAAACATTAACTAACTAAATTAATTAATACAACCCCTCAATTAAGTGTAGGATGTATGAAAGCTTGTTTTCACTCACAGCAAAACAAACAAGCAAAAAAAAAGTCTTTGCAAGCAAGAAAATCGCAATTGTTGTGAGCTATAAAGTCACATTGGGAGATGTAAAGTTGCATTTATGAGAAACAAAGTCACAAATGTGAAATATAAAGTCACACTGTGAGGTATAAATTCACATTTGGGAGATATAAAGTCACCTTTTTCACTCCGAGGCAGAAACTGTCTTCCATAAAGATGTGAGAGGCACAGATTTAGTTTTAAATCCATTGGACCCATGTTCAAATCTTTAGTAAACCAAACATAATTGCAGATGAACTTGACAGCCAGTGATCATAATTCACTTTTTATTGCATGGAAATGGGAGCTTTGATTTTTTATTTCCCCAGGAAATGCATCACTTGGGATTCGAGCAACATAAGGGTGGGTTACAGCATTTTCAGTTTAATGCTATTTTTTTTAAGTGGAACTGTTTTTCGAAACTTAAGACAAAAATCAACAAAACATCTAAATATGTCTAAATCTAAACAATCTAAATAGCATTTTTTTGTGTGTGTCATATTTGATACACCAGGCTTTTATGGCTTACATAGTATGATATAGGACAATATGGAGCTCATACTTGAGGAGCAAGAAAACCCTCAGTTTTATTCATAGGCCCAAACTAAGCAAAAATATTCAGTTTGGTGTTGTTGCTGATATTTATATGGCCAAAAAGTTAAATTCTGTAAGCTAGTATTGTAAATCAATGAGATCTTTAAAACAATATAGCAGACTACTTACATTAAATGCATATACATATAAATTGTCTCTCTATCCCCCGGTTTCACAGACAAGGCTTAAGCCTAGTCCTAGACTAAAATGTAAGTCTGAGAGCTCTTTCAATTGAAAGAAACTTGCACTGACTTTGATCTTAAAATTAATATCAGTGCCTTTGTTTTGTCTCAAGATGCACACCAGTAATGTTTTATTTTTCTAAGCACGTTCATAAAAATTGCTTAAATGTCCTAATTGAAATTTGATCTAATCCTGGTTTACTCTAAGCTCCGTCTGTGAAACCGGGCCTTTATCTCACTATAATATGTCTTTGCAAGATTTTTTATTTTAATTTTTTTGATTGTGTGGGGCAAACAAATAATGCAATGCAATAAAATTATGATTGAGAGATTTACGAATATAAATTCTTTAAAAGCTTGTTGTATCATATTTGATACTCAAATTTTAACTGGGGGAAGGGGGACATTTTTACAATTATACTAAAAGGTCGTTTTCTTGCTAAAAAAAGTATAAACTATCAATCAGAAGGAAGAAGGCATGTAGTGTATTCAGCAACGTTTTGATCATGTTGATATTTTAATTTGCCTATCAAATATGATACAGTATAGACTTTATAGGGTAAAATGCATGATCTGCAGAAGGTGTGACCTAACTGAACTGACCACATTTAGACATTTAGAATGAAACATAGTTTACACAAGAAACTAAAAACTAAAATACTGCACCGTATACATTGTACTCCTTATGTACTTTCTAAGATTAACCCGAAGCATTCACCAGTCTGCCCTAAATGTAATCTGGTTTGGGTACACATTCTCACATGTTTTGGTTTTGCGCTTTGCGCTTTGATAAGCCACTTTTGGGATAAGATTAAAGCAAAGCTTGAATGTATATTGAATTGCATTATTGAGAAAGACCCTTGGTTTTTTATTTTGGGAATGAGTAAAGAGGACAGTGGATTGTCACGTCTTCAGATCAAGCTGGCATGCAAATTATTATGTGTGGCTCGTAAATGATAAGATAAACCCCCAACAGTGTCACGATTTCGGTGGGGTCTACTTGGGCTTTGTTATGATGGAGCACATGGCCTTTTATTTTGACGGCTTGCCATGTGCTCTGCTGTCATCCTGGTGTTCACCCCGCCCCTCTCGTTATCCCTGTTAGCTAATTCTCCCTTCTCACCTGCACCTCGTTTTGTCTTCATTATTATTCCCTTTATCTGGCCCTCTTGAATGCTATCTTGTGCCAGTCCGTATCATGTTGTGCAGCAGCTTAGATCGTCTCTGTCCATGCTGTGTTTGTCTGAATCGTATTTTTATTTTGTCTAGTCAAGTCTAGTCTAGTTGGTCTGGCGTTCCTGTGTTTGTCACCCTCCTCTTTCTACCCTCCTTCCTCCCTAGAACTCTGGTCGGCTCCCGGCCTTGGCTCTTGCTACTCATAGGCCTGTCTCTCCACAGCAGTTTTGTCCTATTCCTCTCTGCCCATGCTCGAGACGACCCCTGGAATTCAGCGGTGGCATTCTATTGCCGGTTCGCCCTCTCTCTTCCCCGCGGGCTCGACTGCGGCTGGTCTAACCTCCACGCTGATCAGAACTGACTTTTTGCTGGGGTTTTGCTATCCTGCTGACTTATTTACCTTTTTATTACATGCTGTCATTGAATGTTGAAAGATACATTCTGTATATGTTTATTTGATTTAACATTGTATGTAAAGCATATGTCTCTCGTATGTTGATGTGGGGGGTGTTTAGTATTGTATTTTTTATTTAATTTGCTGTTGTTTTTTATTTGTGAAAACAAGTTATTGTACAAAAAAACGATATTTAGAATGAGTCTCTGATCTGCTAAATGTGACAGCATGAAAATATCAAGATATTATAAACGTCATTATTTTCTGTATAGCTGCTTCAGAAAAAAATATATAATTTGAAAAGCGCTACACAAAATAAAATTGGAGTATCTGCCACCGCGTTTTTTTTACCCACAATAACTGCAGCTTTATTATCAAAGGTACAAATACTTTTGGAAGTTACAATCAAAAAAGTTAACTTTTAAACTCTGACTATTGAATCATCTGTGAAGTCTGCTTCAGACTTTATAATTTTCCACAGGCGGTTGATAGATTGTGTTTAATCTCAGGTAATGACTCTGCTATGTTCTAGACTGACAGTACTGTAGGGTGTGAACAAGCCTGTCAGTTGTTCATCTAAGAAATAGCTCACTGGAGCGCATATGCCTTGAAGCTGTTAAACAAGCTAACCACAGCAGCCAGCCAGCACAAGCACAGACCCCCCATCATTTCACAAGAGTTTAAAGAAGAAACGCTGAGAGACATAAAAAGGAAACAGAGGAAACCAGCAATATTGTGTCTGCCTTTATGGACTCAAACATGGATCGAAGAGGAGTTAAGGCATAAACAAAGCTGCATTCGCAAAATTACATTTAGCTTTGATTTGACAGCAGAGACTTTGTGTTGTAGTCAAAATTGATCATAAAACACTCCATGAGTACAACATGCCCCAGTGGTGTTTTTACTAAAAGCCTGGGAGCTATCAACACTTTAGAAGAAGGAAATAAGAATTTTAAGGAACAAAAGGAGCAACCTGTGTTTCTTTTTGTCTGAGCACAGAACTATACAAAATTAAACATCAGCCTTAACATAACCAGCAAATTGCATTGTTTTGAACAGTACATAATTTTTATATTGCACAGTCCAGGGTAGCTTGCGACGCAGCCAATTATCCTAGGTTTTGAAGGTTCTGAACACCAGAATTGTGTTGTGTGAATAGATTGCAGGGATGAAGGATGAGAAGCTTTCACTTACAATCCTCTCACAAGTCAAGTGTAAACAACAAGTCTAGTTCAATACTCCCACTTCTCCTGAATACTTCAATTCTCTTGTTGCTCTGTAAAAGCATTAAAAGAGGTTAAAATAGCCTGAGACAGGTTGTTTGGACCAAGGTGGGTGTCAGAGTGGTGTGTGTCAAACAGCCGTAGCTTTGTATATAATTGGCAGAGTTTTCATGCTAAGTCAGTTCCTCACAAAAAGAGAAAGAAACCCCTTTTCTTTTTTCAGAGTACCTTACTTTTCCCATTTTTCAGTACATAATTAACAGGATCTCATAAAGTATAACAGGAGAAAAGTCACTGAGACAAATAATGGATTTGATGCAAAGCTTTTTAAATATTTAAGTCCATATAACACAGCAAGATTATCCTTAAGAAACTGAACTGTGCTGAATGTGCACTTGTAGTGTACTTCAAAAAAAAGAAACTGCTTGCTTAGGGCTGCACGATAAATCCAAATTGAATCGAAATCGCGATTCGACAGAAGCTGCGATTGTCATTCGTATCTTTCAGTGAAGCACGGTTCTGTGATCAGCAGTAAATCTCCATCCAAAGGCCAGAGGGCGCTCTCGCGCTGAAACTCCAAATACGCCTTGCAGAAGAAACCCAAGAAATGCTATAGCGGTAGCTGGATAAACAGAATATTTAACTGCTTTTATTGATTCCGCGTGACTAATAAACACACGATTTTGACAATGTATGGTTTATCGGAGTTATTTTTATTATAATTTTCATTAAAATAAAGTACAGTGGGGCAAAAAAGTATTTAGTCAGCCACCAATTGTGCAAGTTCTCCCACTTAAAAAGATGAGAGAGGCCTGTAATTTTCATCATAGGTATACCTCAACTATGAGAGACAAAAGGAGAAAAAAAATCCAGAAAATCACATTGTAGGATTTTTAAAGAATTAATTGGTAAATTCCTCTGTAAAATAAGTATTTGGTCACCTACAAACAAGCAAGATTTCTGGCTCTCACAGACCTGTAACTTCTTCTTTAAGAGGCT